CTGCAAATTTAGCCGTTTTAATAATTAATCATTATTTCTGGTCGTTTAGAGTCATTCGGCAAAAACAAATCTTGATTGATTCGTAAAGTTTCTCAATTCTCCATAGGGCTACTTCGAGATAGATAGAGCAAAACATCCTTCAAATAGGTACTTCAAATATACAGGTTCATTCGATTAACTCATTTGCGCATCTAAAAAATAATAAAAGAGACTAATTTACATGAGGATCGTCCGCCACATCAGACACCATTAATGAACTACGCGTGTGGCATCATTTCCTAACACCATCACCCCAAACAACATAATTATTCCCATCACAAGCTAATCATCCTGAGAAAAAACAACAAATTCGATCAGCATCAAAGCAAATAAAAAATCGGCTTAAAATCGGTTGCGATCGGAGGGTTCGGGGGCCACGCTCTCAAACAAATCCCGATAAACCCGAATAAATAATTTAGAGCACCCGGAACAAAACCCGAAAATAAGCCGCCGCAAACAAATCCGGTTGGTTTATCTTTCCGAACAATTGAACAATGTGCTGGTGCTGCGGCTACATACGAAATGTTATGTGTATATTTGTAGTTGGCTGTATTGTTCGATTGGGATATGGATTGCACCAATACGGAGAATCAATCACACAGACTTTTATATTATTGTTATTTTCAATTTGTCGTTGGTAATGTTTTGTTTTAATAACATTTCCTCGAGGTGAAGATGTTTAGGTTTCCTCATAAGTTGACACCCATATTCTTCAGTTCATATTATTAAATATGAAATGTATTTATATTGATTTAGAAGTGATCAACCCAACCCAAGATTCAGAAAAATAAAATACAAGTCAACAATATGGGATTAAAACAAATTAGTAAACCCATCGCTGCATTGTGCCACCTGGAAAGATAGAAGAAAATGTGCAGCAGGAAATCTGTCCAAAGCCAACTTATTTGAAATTATCAAGGCAAAGAAAGAGAGATTTCAAACTGCAGTTGCGTTTTGAAAAGCTAAACCGAGTTCAAGCTATAAATTTATAGATTTCCGCAAGCATTTTCACATTTTCACATTTTCACTCTGTACTTGATAACACAATGAAAATGCTTTTTGCATCATTCCAGAGAGAACTAAAAGGCCTTTTTAGAAAGTTAACCATCGATAAGGAAATGTCGGCAGTTTTTCCAAAAAAAATCATGCGATATCGTTGCCGCATCCCGAAAGCACCGAACTACAGAACCAACATGATTTGTTCGTCCTTTGGATGAGTTGTTTGCTTTGCTGCTGGATTGTTTGGATTGGATTTTTTTCCTATAGACTGTTTTGTACTCGTAGAAAGTGCCCTTTACATTCAGGTTCCAACTCGTTTGGATGAACACTGCCCACAATAAGAATCGCTAATTGAATCACTTGCATCACTTGCTTGGATCGTTTTCGAACAATTACTGTGCGCTCGTTTTCCATTCAAAAATCATTGAAGTATCAGATTTTTGTCTTGCGAATGCTTGAATGGAATGAAGTTAAAGTGTTGACTGACGTAGAGTTTTCAACTTTAAACTCGCAATTTTAGAGAGGAATTAAACTGCACGACCAAATAAAAGTTCGTATGGTAAATTGGCCCTAACTTTGCAACTGGATTTATTCCGCTTGCAGCGAGAGATTTAACTTCTGTTTGAACTAGTCCTGGTCCTTTGGCATTCTCCCAGTTGAAGGAAAAAATTTAATTTACATCGCAAAAAAGTTTTTTTATTCGCCTTTATCAGGTTTGCGCTTTTGCGGTTGAAATCCTAAGAAACGTTTTTTTTTTAAATGAATGGAAATTTCAAAAAAGTGTTTATGGCTTATTCCTTTATTTAAAGTTCTAAATTATTTGTGTGAAAACTTTCCAGTTTTCCAATTTGCAGTATTAAATTGATATTTCTTCAGGCTCTAGAGCACACCTCGTTATTTCAAGTAATTCCATGTTAACATCTAGTTCACCAGCTTGACTGCTGAGTTACATTGGATGAAGCGTTGAAAAGTGCCTGGCTCTAGAAAATGGAGTGTTCAACTCTTCTCCTCATCAATGAATCTCGTTCAATGATCAACTCACAAACTCCCAAAAACTCGCGTTTCCAGCCAAAAAACCAAAGAACATTGCAAAAAAATCAAATTAAGCTTGTATGCATCAGCATTAAACCTGTAAAACATGTTTATCTAATGTCAGGAGCAAATTTCTCAACAAATTTATCCTCAAAGAAAAGGCTTGCGTGTGAAAAAATTACCAAACGACAGGTAAAAGATAACAACAGTGAAAACAGGCCTGCAAAAGGCGAGTGATGTAGACGTATGTAAAGAATATATTACAGATATTAAACGGAAAGTTGCGAAGAGAAAGGGCAAAAGAACAAGAAATCATAGAATGGATATTGAGTCAACCCAAATGTATTGGAAGCTAAAGAAAGCATGATTCAAAAAATAAATCAAAACTTAATGCAAAGTGAAATTGGAAGACAGAAATAATTGAAGGCGCAAACAAAAGGACTGGAAAAACACGAACAAACGCGTTTACATCGAGATCAGAAAACAAAAAACGAAAATGTGAAAAGAACGCGATTGAAATCAATTGATCAATACTACATTAAAGAGATGGGAAGAATACAAATTTGAGCGTCGAGTTCAAAGTGGAGGCATGCTGAATAGAGTGGATGCAAGGCAAAAATATACCTAATGACCAAAGCGGGAAAAAACAGAAGAAAATACATTTAAATGGAAATGAGCAGAAAACTTTGAGGAAAAAATAAATTGGGGACGGAAATAATTCTGTATAGACTGAAGGCGAAAGCAAAAAGATCAAAATTGG